GTGGGGGTGGGGGGGGGGGGGGGGGGGGGCGAACTGGGACTTGAGGTGTGTACATCTTTGAGATTGTGGTGTGGAACGGATGCGTCGGGTCGATGGCAGGTGTGAGAGATTTTCCTGTCGGCTCTGTCAACGGATTGTACCTTACATTAATTAAAAAGCTATAGTTCTCAGACCTGATTGTTTTATTTTGATTTTATGTAAACTGTAAGCTACGCCACCACTCGGTTACAAGTAGAAAAACTAAACAGTCTAAATTAATGTGCATATTAAAATGCGTATTGGTAGCTACATGTATAGCATCGTAACACATGCTCCATAGCCTACGCCATAATCAGAAAAAGAGCGGAGCCATACAGGGACAGGGAAGGGGGTTCTGAATGGGTGCTTCACACAGGGCGAAAGTTTACCTAAGGCCAGCGTTGATAAATATATACAACTTCATCAAAAAAAAAAAAAAACATACCCCAATTGTTTTTAAAGAAGTTTAAGCCAAAAAAAAAACCAAACAAATCTATTAAATTTACTTTATTGGTGTAGTCGTAGAGGTCACACAGAGCAGGTATGCTGTGCCAAGAAAAATTACATTTCTCAAAGAAATGGACAACCACAACACCCCAAGAGGCGACGGTCAAAAAGGAAATCCAAGATGCCATTTAGCCATGATGCTGCTCACGACCAGCCGACTGCTGGTCAGCATGTGTCAACATATGTAAGAGAACCTGATCAGTTTAGCCCTACTGTTGTTGGAACTAAATCTGAGAATGTGCGATCCACAAACTCAGACGCAAATACAATTCTTAAACTTCAACCCGAAAGTGTGACTAATACAGCTGGTCATATTGACCGTCGAAATATTAGGAAGAGATCAACAGTTAATTTTTCTGACACTGTTTTACAGGATGGTTCTGTTAGTGTTGCACCAAAACAACCGGCAGTTTGCCCAGATGTTGAGAGAAGAACCGTTATCATGACCCACACAGTAACACTAAAAACAAAGACACACGTTTTTAATTCTAAGGGAGAACTTCTGAATGTTTTTGAGAAAGCTGAAATTTTATTAAAAAATACAGTTTCACCTAGCCAACAGTCCACCCAAGCTGTCTAAATTTAATGGCGAGTGCAATGCAGAGCAGTTTGTGAAGGAAGTAAGGTTATTCCTGCAACTTCAGCCGATGCCCGCAACCTCAGCGGTCATCTGGATAATAGGTGCCCTGGAGGGACGTGCTCGTCAGGACATTTTGGACCAAGCTGTTGCTACGATAGACACTCCAGATAAACTACTGCACTTGATTTTGCAGAACTGGGGTGATCATCGTGACGTCACAACTCTAGCGGCCGCATTCTACCGTAGACAACAATACCTTGGGGAAACTGTCGAGGACTATGCGAAAGAATTGCGCAACATTTTCATGTTAGCTAATTCTGCACGACCTGGCATTCTCCCAGAAGACATACTGCGTGACGTATTCATCCAAGGTCTCCAACCACCCACCCTACGCAGAGATGTCAAGGCCTACGCTAGGCTACACACTGGCTGCTCATTTGATGACGTCCGTAGGGAAGCACAACGGTGGATGCGTGAGTACATTTCTGATGTCGCCACCACCCAGCTCTCAGCATCACCGTCGCCTTACCTGACCCAGCTGACAACACAACTTATGGCTCGTATTGACCATCAAGTGGCAGCCAGGGCAGAAAAGTATAACCCTCCATCGCCTGAAAGGGACCGGGACGTCCCGTTTACCGAGTCTACACCAGCACCTACACAGCAGCGACGGCATAAGTGCAAGCGACAACCTACACGCACGGATGTGTTATGTCATTGGTGTAGTCGTAGAGGTCACACAGAGCAGGTATGCTGTGCCAAGAGAAATTACATTTCTCAAAGAAAAGGACAACCACAACACCCCAAGAGGCGACGGTCAAAAAGGAAATCCAAGATGCCATTTGGCCATGATGCTGCTCACGACCAGCCGACTGCTGGTCAGCATGTGTCAACATATGTAAGAGAACCTGGTCAGTCTAGCCCTACTGTTGTTGGAACTAAATCTGAGAATGTGCAATCCACAAACTCAGACGCAAATAGGATTCTTAAACT